TCGGCAAACAAAGAATATACAAGTTGAAACAATAAAGAAGTACTGTTTATCAAAAGGTGTAATTCAACGGAGTACCCAAGGTTCAGGTAGTTGTGATATATATGGCATCACCAATCACTCCCTATGACCAATAGGAATTGAGAATTACAGTGGCCTTATTTTATGCCAGGGGAGTGACCACATTCCAAAATAATGCAGACTGCTTAATCAATTTATTTATTATCTTTAAGGGGGTCTTAGGTAGCTGTCTAAACGACCCTACCATGTGAAGATATATGAGGTCGTTGGACTTTATATACAAGATGGTTAAATAGTTAAAGTTAAAATAAAGTGAAAATTCTCTAAAAATACACACACCATGTTTGATAATAGTGGTATGAAACTGCTACAGACTTAGCAGTAGCAAGTGTTACATTACTTGTTACAATTCACCCATCTCCAATAGACAGAATTAGTGACTAATATAATAATAATAATAATAATAATAATAATAATAATAATAATAATAATAGTAATAATAATAATAATAATAACACGAACATGTTATAGTAGGTATAAAATCAAAACAAACGGTAGGTGGCTGTTTTTTCACACAATAACAATAGGCCTAATCAGCCTCTGCTCGAGTAGATTTCGATAGTTTTTAAACTCCTCAAACTTATTTATTTGTGCATGTTATTGTGAAATAACTCATCGAAGAGTCTAGTTAAATATTTATCTAATAATAGTAAGAAAAGTATCTTCTATGATAACCTCATTACATTTTATACGATTTAATATACACCACTTTCGACTCCACTCAGTGCATTATCATAGGACTTCGCATTGTAAACAGGAATTTATACCGAAATTCGTTGACGTCATCTTTAGTGGCTAATCGGTCTATAACAAAACAGGAATCTAACCACACTTTATCTTTATCTTGGAATAAACACCTGGCCTGTGGTTCTGTGACAGCTAATTATAATATTAGGTACCGTACCAAACCTTACCTATTGAGACACTTATATTCAACTTGTTTGTAGTAGTAGGCCTGTCATTTGTAGTGTTAACTAACTTTGTCTTACTTATTATCGTAGTAGAGGAATAATTACAGCAAGCAATATAAATCGGTGGTATTTACAAACACCGAACGGTCAAACTCAGGTCATGCTTAATACATCAGTTAGTATTCACAGGGAACAGTGAAGCTGGTATTCATACATCTCACTAAACCAGGGTGACCACTCGCAATTTTTCATATACCAAAGGTCTGCGACGAAATTACCCAAGATTCAACAAAAATTTCCCAAAATTAAGTTTCCAGAAAATCCATTAAAAACGGGGTTTTCATATGTATAGTTTCCCTTTTGCTTTTATAAACTCTATTTTATTGTAATTGTCTGTGTTAATAATTAAAATTAATATTCATGAGGAGATAGGAACGATAGATAATTACGCCTCTCAGTCGGCCAGTAGCGTTATCAGTAGATCAGTGACGAAGTTGTATTATGTGTGCATTAATTATAGTTAAGATCAAAAAGCAACGCAAATTACAATAAACAATTCTGAACTCATGTTTTTAGCAATTAAAAGTCAATTAACAATATTATGTGCACTTCGTTGACTTCTGTTTACTTAAATTGACTGAAAATATACATTGTTACTTCTTTATTCTTCTTCTATGACAAAAAAAAATATTTTTTAAAAATAAAATACCCAAGGATCTGAACAGATTGAATACCCAAGAACCCAAGACCTTAAATAGCTCCCTCTATAATTCTGCCCTAAACCAGAGTATGTGGAAAAAATAATGCAGCAGATCTGCTTGGATCTGCCCTTGTGATCAGCGATGTACTGCCTGTATGCAGCTTTAGGCCTAGGCGGAGAAAAATAAATCCACTGCAAATCAAATTAAGTAGCAAATTTACATTATTATTTAACATTATCACGCATAATTATTAAATATTGGATTTTCGTTGTTCTCTGCATATTTTCCATGTAAAACGATGCCTCGCATAAATGTTGTTATGCCTCTCACTTTTGGGAATGGTAAAACGATGCCTCGCATGAATCGTTGTTTTGCCTCGCTGCCTTGCATGCCTCGCACTTTAATACTACTCATTGGTTACCAGCTGATGTTCTTGGACTACACTCCGAGTCACCTTCATAGAGCAGGTCTTTCCCGTCGATATGATACAAAGTAAGGGCCTCTCTTGTGGAGCTAAGCCCTTCTGCTGGCTCATTCTTGAAAACATTTGATTTCATCGAGAAAGAGAGAATAATAATCTTGCTGCTGGTAAAGGGCTGAGAGGGCAGTGTACACAGATCCTCGTTCCACAATTATCTCTGTGATGCATGACTGGAGTAAATTGAAATATTTAAATAACATCTCAATTACTTAATATTTGTAATTTACTCACTAAAACAGATTATTTTAATTTTTATTATTGATATTTATTATCTGTGGCTGGCATCGGCGCTGGTGAACCAGCCGCTCCTCACCCATAGTTTGGTTGATAGAACCAAGTCTTCTCAGATAAGGACTTAAAATGGATGCTCAGTCTATACTGTATATCTTCCTCATGTGCACTTTCAAGATGAGTAGGGTGTTACCCCGATGTTATGGTTCATTTCAACCCCTGTTGTTCTGGAATGATGTGAACATGTAGCTACTATAATATAAACGCTTCTATTTTTATACCTCCTTGTTCTTTATGACTGCTAGTCATGGACACAGGGGTCCCAAGTTGGAAGAATCCTCATCTGGGAGATCTGTTTAAATGAGCTTTCTTAACTGTCACCTAAACATATTCTGCCATGGCGGTTGATAACTATTGGCTCTGAAATCCGGGAGACAATTGATAACAGTATTAAAAATTGAAAGATTCTTTCTTGCTCGCGGAAGTGCGTGAGGCCTTCTCGGTTTCCGGGAGACTCTCGCAACTCCCGGGAGACTTGGGACCCATGCGGAACACGCCCATACGCAATTCAGCAAAAACAAAGCCGCAAATTATGGGTTATTCTTTTACCTTTATATATTAATATAATTATCATAAAACTGTTAAACTTCAAGGGGAAAAGCTCTGCCCACTTCAGCGTATTTGACACTTTCAAAAAGTCATGTGTTAGCACTTAAAAAGGTAAAAATCGGCCAATGTATGGGGCAATATTTATTAAATATCCTGTGGAATTTTAAGGCCTGGGCCTTGCTAGCTGATAGCTGTTATGCCATTGTTAACAGATATAGAATTGTAACAATAAAATACATACCTTGGTCTTCGTGTTGAGATTATCAGTTCTGTAGCTGTAAGGTCTTTTTGATCATTGCTGAGACTGTTATATGCATATTCCTATCATTGAAAAGCAACATAAAATAGAATGTATTTATTACTGAGACCATGTGGGTAACTGCAGCATTTAAGAGATAAAACAGAGAAAAATTAATTTTTGTTAGGTTTCAAACATGCATTGAATAGAAATATAATTGGATAATGATACAAATATATCAGATATACTATTAAACATCAATTGAGAATATACCAGTACTGCAGAATGTAAAAAACAACATAGAATTTGTTTCAATTGAAAATCAAGATAGATTCGTGTTCCTTATCATGGGCTGGTAATCAGATTACTGTACCAAAATCAGAATTGAAAACTGCTCAAGAAATCATACTTTGTGTGCTGGACATGGAATCAATTTAATCAATTCTCTGCCAAAGAATGGTTCTTCAGCATTATGAAAAAAAAAAAAATCTGTTTTTTTTTTTAATTTTACCCTGTTTCAACTGCTACAAGCACTCATCTTAAGAAGAAACATTCCTACATTCCACTACATCTATACCTCATAAATATCAAACAGCAAAAGGGGTGGGTAAAATTTCACAATTTGCACATGTAGACAGGGTTGCGGTAGTTGATTATGGCTAGTATTTTTTTTCCTGCATCCACAAGGAAGTAGTCAAAACTACCGCAACACATACCAAGTGGAATTGACTAATAAAAAGTTGTTATTCACTTAATATTTATGAGGTATTGTAAACTACACTGCTGAATACAGAATAAAAGAAATAAAATAAAAATTGTGGGAAAATTAAAATAACTTGTGTTACCATAAATTTATGGAGTAGTTCTGCAGTTCTTTCATGCCAAATACCACCGTGAACTGTTAGGTTGGCTAAAAACTCCACGCTATCCATCGCAGGATTGATTTTATCTTCTATACTGTTGTCAAACACACGTTTGGTTTCATCTCCAATGGTAGGATCAAGGAAAAGGCTGCTGTCATCCTTAAAGTCACCGACATCTTTCGCAATAGCATCAAAGCGAGTGTTACGCTGAAGGACAATTTTGACTTTCTTGGCAGGTACAATTGCACATGGTTGCGGTAGTTGATTATGGCTTATATTTTTCCCTGCATCCACAAGGAAGTAGTAAAAACTACCGCATCACATACCAAGTGGAATTGACAAATGTAATGTTGTTATTCACTTAATATTTATGAGGTATTGTAAACTACACTGATGAATACAGAATCAAAAAATGATATAAAAATTGGAGAAAAATTAAAAATAATTTGTAGTTACCATAAATGTATGGAGTAGTTCTGCAATTCTTTCATGCCAAATACCACCGTTGACTGTAAGGTTTCCTACAGCAAGACTCACGTCATCCATAGAGTTGGCTGAAAACTCCACGCTATCCATCGCAGGATTGATTTTATCTTCTATACTGTTGTCAACCACATCTCCAATGGTAGGATCAAGGAAAAGGCTGCTGTCATCCTCAAAGTCACCGACATATTTCACAATAGCATCATCCGAAAAGCTCCGAGACACATCAGATGTTTCTGGAAAAATTAAGGAAATAAAATTCGGACTCATCACATATAAATTTTGAGAGCCTAATGTCAAAAAGAGAGGAAAATGATGGTGATGACAATGAAATAAGATAATAAATGAATGATAATGATGTAATAACAAAAAGATGATTAAATGATATTGATTATAATGAGCGGTTAGAAAACTTTATTGTAAAAGAAGCATGATGAATGGGAAGAAAAAGATGATAATGATGACAACAAGCAATATGTTACTGCTTAAGATGTACTGTATGTGAAATACAGTGTACAGTAAAAATGGCCCAGGAAAGAAAGAGCTCCTGAAAGAATGGCCCTTGAGAATAAAATGGCTACAGTAAATCTGGCCCCAAATGACAGGTAGGTAAAAATGGCCCCAATGATAAAATTCTGTATTAAATCTTTCAATTATTTAAATGCTCCAAAATAAAAATTGAACAATAAATTAACATAAATACTTGCATCGTTGGGTAAGTTCAAAATCACCGCAAACCACTTTCCATTTGGTAATTAATTTAATTACATAATTGATATTTTTGGTTCAATTCTTAATCATTAAATTTTTTAAATATTAGGTACTAAATAGCCTGTATTCCAGGCTGTTCTTCTTTGTTAACAAAGCTCAATTTGCCACTGGTGTAAAATGTCATTCTGTAATTGTCATTTGGTAATAGTTACATGATTTACACTCTGTCATAATCACTAAGTCTTCATCTAATTATTTAGTTAAACATGTTGTATTATAGGTAAGATATTACAGAATCACACACATTCTTTAAAAACATAATACCTATTAAGAATTCACAAATATAATTAATAAAATAATGTGTCCATTTGGCATCATTTCATAATGGTCGTAATCAATAATCAATAACTCTGTTAAAATTTGACATTGTAGCACCAGCTCCCCCCTCTGGCGCCACTACTGCAGTTTAGTTGGTATTTTTGGTAAAGTCATCATGTGGGGATCTTGGAACTGCCCGTCTGACGAGACATTTCTGCTAGAATAACGGGTCAGAGGTCAATAAAGGTAATTTATGGTCAAGTTTTCTATGAAATAATAATAGGGAATATTAAACATTTGTAAATATACCAAATATAATTATATGCACATCATATAAAAAGCTTATAAAATTGTCTATCCATTGATACTAACTTGTTTTTGTTTCTTGTTTTAGGTACTTTTTTGGGTAAAATCACAAAATTGTTTTCATTTTTTGTCAAAATTTTTTATTTTTTGTTTTCATTTTATTTTAGAAATTACCTTGAACTTTATACTTAGAATATTAGGAAGCATTCTGGATATATTGACTTCACTGCAGATTATGACACTTCGTGGAGGCACTGTGTAGCATATAATATATATAAAGTATACATATATTATAAACCAAGGTAGCCATTTACACTGTTAAATTATATATAAATCATCCAAAAAAAAAAAAAAGAAAGGTAGATACAGTGTATTCATATTTGTTACTATATATTTCTAGCCATATCACACCAGATCTGACGCCCTCTCGAATTTACGGTTATTTGAATCTGTACGATTACACAAGTACACACATTGACATTATAGACCGCGATAACATGTATGATTATAAAAGCAGTTCAACTAGTTAGAAAAGTCAGGTTATTGAAATGAGAAACTGAAGTAACAATATTTGAAATCCTAGTCTTCAGAAATATATGGATATTCTTAGCTATTAATCCCATGACAATCTCCACTGTTTCTCAACACCCAGTGCCACATGGTGTCATAATCTGCTGTAAGGTCTATGAATCCAGAACAGTTCCTAATATTTTACTGTAAGTATAAAGTTCCAGGTAAAAATTCCAGTTGAAACCAATTGGAAATGTCAACTGGTACAATTTGCCCAACATGTTTTTAACTGGTCTAAATGAAATTAAACTGGCCACTTGGTTTTTCCAGATGCTGAGAAAAATGAATGCATTTTTACATCTGTTTACAATGAAAGATTTAATATTTGATCACATGTCAATTCATCAAACCATGCATCGACCATGAAAACAAACCCAATAAAATATTTTTGACACAAAAACCATGACCTGATATTATTTTAAATGTTGTAAAGAGTGAGCTAGTCAGTTCCCAATATTTTTTCATATTTTAAATAGAAAAACTTGTGGTCCAACATATTTTTCCATATACAGTATTTGATACTTGTTCTCATAAAAACACATTTGCAAAGCAAACACTGTAATAAAAAAGTAACTTTATTCTGACAAGCATAATTTGCTTAACAATTAGTGTTTAGACCATTATCCAGATTTTCTGTTAAATGTTAGTTAGTTAAATATAGTTATTACTTATTATAAGCGACGTTCAATCATGCCTACTTTACTCTCATCGGTGAAATATGTACCATTTTATATGTCGTATCTAATTAATTTTAAGGAACGCAATTACAATTTATTTCAACACTACATTTCCAAAATAGAGTGGCGAAATAGATGGGGACCAGGGAGGAGGGGCTTTTTACAGATGGAGCTTAGACCATGGTTTGGGCTATTCTGCGGTGACCAATAAGTTTGTGATTCTGTTTTTGAAATTTTTCAGTAATTGGTCGTTTTTTGTGGAAGTTTTGATGTTTTTCTTTATACTTCTTTATTGGAAGTAACGATGTGTTTTTCAAGTACATACCTGATTTTTTTTGTTTCTCAAAGTCTAATTCTATGGAGGGGATTGAGTAGTGCCAAAGTGCGAGCCAACCAGTCATGCCAGCCAATGCACGAGTCATGCGAGCCAATGCACGAGTCATGCGAGCCATACATTTTAAATCTTTTTTTTTTTTTTTTTTTTTTTCAGGTTCAGTTTTGGAAACACATACCCTAGCCTATATTCTTTGGCCTAGTAGATGCAAATGAATAACACACCAGGGAGCTTTGCCTGTGTATTCCAGTACACACACTTTTGGACTTGGTTACTTTTCCGATCCTAAAGTATGCAGCGCTGATATATGTAAAATACAGATATATAGATACATACATACATACAGATACATATACTTATATATATATATACACTATTTATTTATATAATATTTATATATTTATTTGTATATTCATTTTTATATACTTATTTGTATATATATATTTATCTATCTATCTATCTATCTATATATATACTGTATTATTATTTTATATATATACTGTATTTATTTATATATTATTTATATATTTTTATATTTATTTGTATATATATATTTATTTGTATACTGTAATTATTTATATATTTATTTAAATGTTATTATATATTTTCTTGTATATTTATTTGTACAGGTATTTATATATATATATATATTTATATATTATTTATATAATTATTTACAATTTTTATATATATTGTTTGTATATATATATATATATATATATATTAGTATGTTCATATATTTATTTATATTTATATATATAGATTTATATATTTATTTGTATAATTATATATATATTAATATATTCATATATTTTTTTATATATCTATATATATTTATATATATACATTTTTTTTTATTTGTTTATATATTTATTTATATATTTATTTCTTTGTATATATATTTGTATATTTATTTATACTGTATATATTTATTGTCACAATATGCATTGTGCGTATAACAAAATATATATATAAAAAATATACATATATAAATATATAAATAAATATATAAATGAATATATGAATAATTACAGTATATATAAAATAATACAGTATATATAAATAAATATATAAATATATATACAAATAAATATATAAAAATAAATATTCTAGCAAATATATTGATATATATATAGATAAATATATGAATAAATATATAAATAATGTATAGATATGTATATATATATATATAAATATATGAACATATTAATTTATATAAATATATATACAAAAAAATGTACAAACAAAATAAAAAAATTTTAAGTACTTTTATAAATATATAAACATATAAATATATACATAAATATAAAATATATATAAATACGTATACAAATAAATATATAAATGTATATATAAATAAATATACAAATAAATATACAAACAAATATAATATATAAGCATATAAATAAATATATAAATAATTACAGTATATATAAAATAATAATACAGTATATATATATATATATATATATCTATATATATATACAAATAAGTATATAAAAATAAATATATAAATAAATATATAATAAATA